TTGGTTCAAAACTTAATTTATACACCATTTTGTTTTACTATTTTTTTTTATTTCCAGGATAGAATGGATGTATTACAATTTCGCAAAACTTTTCTTATAGAAGACTTTTGTAAATAGACGCTCTAATTCGTTAAATATAGGCATTCAATATACTAATATTTTTGATTCCATTTAATGAATAACTGAATTGAGTTTTAATTAAATTATTTTAGTCGACTAGAACAATAAAATCACATATAATAATAAACTTAAATAATAAAATTATTTTCTAAAACAAAAAATTAATAAAAAAATCAGGAACTTAAAACTTATATAATATAATTTATATAATAATAATGTTAAATATTATACAGAATGTTCGAGACTAGACAGTACTCCTGAAGCAAAGCAATAGAATAGTTCCACACAAACAAAAAACACCTAATTTAATTTTCTTTTTTAGGTCCACCTTTACGAGTTAGGCCTAAAAGTTGGAATTTCAGAATATCGTTTAATTTTAAGATTTTCATTGTTAACTCATGAAATATGACAGGCAAAAACAAATTTGATTTTGTATTTTCGCTCCTATGCAAAACATTTCTGTTTTTTTAGAAAATATTTGAATATTTGATAATGAAATAAAGATGAGGTAAATAGATAAGATTTTGTTATGGAGACAAAACATGTCAATATTGCATAATTCTGAATAATAATGCTTCAAAAATACGTTTTTTTTAGCTATTTTTTGATATTGTGATCCCAGGCTTTCGTCTGATAGGCTTTTAATTCCTGAAATTTTTTACAACATTATATTACATTAAATTGAAGTTCAAAATACAAGATTCCATTTCCTGAAGAAAAAAACATTAGGTGAGTAACGAGTAATTATAAATAAATTACGATATATGTTACGATAAAATTTTTTAACTTTTTGCATTTAAATACTTTTAAAATTAAAAAAGTGTTCAACACCTGTCGTCATAGTATTATTATTAAAATTTCATTAACTTTAAAATTAGTATTCAAAGTTGGCTTTACAGGCCACATTTCCCAAGCTATCCATAAAAATGTAAAAATCAGACAAATTTCCAAAAATTTCATCTTTCACAACTCTTATATTTCGAGAAGGAGGACCAAAAAGGTAAAATGTTACTCGGTGTTTTTTGTTCGTCTAGAAGAGGTATATCCCACTTTGGGAGTACTGTTAAGTCTCGGTCACCTTGTATGTGTATAATAATTAAATATGGAAATAATAAATAAAATTTTGTAATTTTTTAAATTTCTGTTTTGCCTAAATATTAAAATTTTTTTTTTTGTTTTAAATAAATTATCAAATGTTTACTTAATATATATATATATATATAATATAGGTATATATAATTGTATATTATATAATTGTTTGTCAATTATAATTGTTTTTGTTTTCTTTCAATAATTGCTTTTAGAATGTATATATAAAAAAAATTTAGTTTTTTTTTTTTTTTTGTTAATTTTTTTTTGTTCATTTATTTTCGAAAATATATATATGTGTATATATTATATATATTGCCAAATATTTCTTTATTTTTTTTTGCTTAATTTTACATTATTAATTTTTTGTTTTTAATAAAATTTTTCTTTTATTTTAAATTTTAAAATATAAATAATTGTTATTTATTAAAAATTTCTTCGTTAATTTTATGTTTTTGTTTTATAATTGTTTTCATTTTTTTTTTTTGTTAAATAATATTGCTTTTAGTATTACAGATTATTAATTTATTTATTATTATTTTTATAATATATGGTATGTAATTTTCATTATAAATATTTTTATTATTATTATTTTATTATTAAATTTTTGTTTTTGCTTTTCTTTTCTATAATATTTTTATTAAATTTTTTCTTGTTTTATAATTGTATAATTTTTATAATCTATTATACAATTGTTGTTGTTTTTTTTTTTCAAAAATAATAATAATGTAATATGAAAAAAATTTAATTGTATAAAATATAGTATTAATTTTGAATTTGAATTAATTATAAAATTATATATTATGGTATATTAGAATTACAGATATTTATGGCTCTAACAATGCACCGAATTGCATATGCACAGGAGTTACAAATTCAAATATACATAACAAATAATAATAAAATATTTATTAGTAAAATTATACATCTCATATACTATTACAATAGTGATTCTTTTTAACGTGTCTCCCACCGTTATTCAAAAAAAAAATATATATATATATTTATTAGTAAAATTATACATCTCATATACTATTACAATAGTGATTCTTTTTAACGTGTCTCCCACCGTTATTCAAAAAAAAAATATATATATATATATATGCGTTCATGGTTCGTTTACCAAAAAAATTCAGCACCAAACTAGCGGCAATTATATTTTATTCTATAAAGGGATCTCTTAATTAAAAAATTTTATTTAGTGAGATCCATAAGTCCAAAATTGTATAACAGAGGAATAATAGAGACAAGATTGAAAGAGGCACGAAATAAATATTAGCAAACAAAAATAAAGTGTTCTTTTTCGTATTAAAGGGAATTTATTTTTTTTTTTATTATTTTTGAAAAGCGTTTTTTGAAACAATAACCAATTTTCTTATAATGTGTGGCTCGATAACTATTGTAAGTGACACTGTGTAAGCGATAACTATTGTAATTCGATTTCGTTCGTATAATAATAAATAAATCATTCTACTATATGCGTATTCTGTCAGGTATAATAACTGGTTATTTTAACTTATAAAAAATGAAAAAAAAAAGATAAGCAAAATAAAAATAAGATTATTGTATTGTGTTATACTAGTATGTTAATAAAAGCAGCCAACATATTAAATAATAAATTCGGTTTTCTTGATAATTAACTCCTATTAAAATATGATTAACGAATTTTAAACAAAGTGTACTGATTTTCGTATTAGAACACTCGAAACTGAATTTAGTTCAAACCATATGGTTTAGATTCTTCTAGTTTGACATTTCTACTTTAACTTTTCGATTTTGACTAACTCTTCTATTCTGACTCTGACTTTATTAATCTGACTTTGACTCTTCGACCTTGAGCTTACAACTCTGATTTTTTGACTCTAACTTTTTGATCCTAACTATTCCATTCTAACTCTTCTACTCCAAATCTGATTCTTTGAATCTAATTTTTTGATTTTGACTATTCGACTCTATTCCTTTAACTCGAACTCTAACTTTTCAATGTTATACTTTTTGACACTGCCTCTTTTACTCTAACTTTTCGATATTAGCTCATCTACTTTTTGACTCTAATTTTTCTACCCCGACTTATCGGTTTCGATTCTTTAACTTTAATTCATCTGTTTCGACTCTGACTTTTTGATTTTGACTAAATAGAACTTATAACTGTTCTACTCCGAAACTGACTCTTTAATTCAAATTTTTTTATTCGTACTACTCATCTATTAGCTTTTTATTCTATTTCGACTCTAGCTTTTTTATTCTGACACTGAATTTTTAACTATAACTTTTTAATTCTGACTAGGATTTCTCTACTATAATAATTGCCATAGCCCATATTTAAATTGTATTTGTACATTTTTAAATTTAAATTAAAAATTTTTAATATTTAATTCAATTTTAAAATTAATACTATATTGTTGCAATTAAATTTTAATATTTAAAAATTTATTCTGTTTATTTGTTATACATATGGATATAGAGAAAATTTTTATACATATGGATATAGAGAAAATTGTTATACATATGAATATAGAGAAAATTGTTATACATATGGATAAAGAAAAAATTGTCATACATATGGATAAAGAAAGGGTTGAAAATTAAATATAAGAAAAAAGAAATAACGAAAATTGATATTTTATACAACCTACCTTCAAAAAATTATTCAATTTTGTTATACATTTTGTTATACTGTTTAAGTAGTAAACTTTTATTTTTGTATATCATTATTTTTTGGTAATTATAATAATAATTTTAAAAAATAATTTTTGTTTTTTTTTTTTAAATTTCTTTTGCAAATTTCTTGTTTTTTCTCTTTTTTATAATAGTTTATATAATTATAATTTTATTACAATATTTTCTATTTTAATTCTTTAATAAAGTTTTTCATTAATAATTGCTTTGAATTTGGATTGATTTTATGGTTTCATTTTTTGTTTCATCTTTTGTTTAATTGTTGTTCTATTTAAAATTCTATTTAAAATTCTATATAGAAGAAAGGAAGGGGGAAAAAAATAATTTTATATTTTATTTATTTGTTATTTTTTTTAAAGTATGTAATATTGTTTTCTCTTCAAACTTACGATATACTAAGAAAATTTTCCGGTTTTTGGTTTTGTTATTTAATTATAAATGTTTTTCTTTTATATGCTTATATTATTATTATGTAAAGACGTTTATATACATAAAATATATATATATATATATATTTGTATATAAACCAATAATATATATTATTATTTTTTTTTTCATCATTTTCACTAAAACATATACATAATACACAAGTTTTGGTTTTTTTATAATATTTAATAATATTACTGCCATCTAAACACTTTGTTTTTTATTATATAATATTATATAATTGTATATGTATAAATGTATATTTATAATGTATAATAATTATATATATATATATTTATATAATTATATATAATATATATTTAAATAAAATTAAAAATTTGAATTATAAGTTTTATTATTTTGGTGTCATAATACGTAGCTATTCACATTCATATTTATTATTAATATAATATAATTGTTATAATTATGTATAATAATAAAATGATACTCGTAAAATATTAATGTATATATGTATAATATAAAAAAAAAATGTTTACAATATAATGCATAATTATATATATATATATACCTAATAAATATTATGTATATATAATATTTATTTAATTAATTATATTATTACAATTTTTTTTTAAGTAAATATTTTTTTTTACTTCAAAAATTTTATTTTCTACTATTATTATACTAAATATAATAATAATAATAATAATAACAGTGAAATGTACATATATAAAATGTCAATGTCAATGTCAAATATCTGAAAAATTTTGACTTTTTGACATTATACAAAATGTTATAATTACATATTATTGTGATATTTACAATATATGTAATATATTTAATTAATTATATTATTATATTTTGCTTTATATTATATATATATATATATAATATAATTATGTTACAATAATATCTTCGTCATTATCATCACTACTTTGTATATTATTATATGGTTCACGATTAACGCATGCCGATTCTAAATGTTTATTTAAATAACTTTTTAATGCAAATGTTTTTAAACATTTATGACATTGAAATGCTTTTTCAATTGAATGTGTTTGCATATGGGCACGTAAATTAGAACGATCAGCAAATGCTTTATTACAATGTGAACATGAATATGGTTTTTCACCAGTATGTGAACGTAAATGTCCTTGTAATAACCATGGACGTGAAAATAATTTACCACATATTTCACAGCTATGTGTTAATTTATGTGTTAATAAATGCATAGCTAATGCTGGCATTGATACATATGCTTTACCACATGTATTACATTTTTTAGCTGATTGTGAATCTAAGCTACGATGTGTTTGTTTATGACGTGATAAATTACTTGATGTTGCATATTCTTTACCACATATTAAACATTTATGACAGCCTGATTTTGATTTACGTCCAACATTAGTTGATGATGATGATGATGATGATGAAGATGATGATGATGACGACGATGATGATAATGATAATGATTTTAAATTATTTTGATCATTATTGTTATTGTTATTTTCATTACCGTCATTAAAAGGTTTTATATTATTATTATTATTATTATTGTTACTGTTATTATTATTTATTGAATCATTATTATTATTTTCTTTTATTGTTGTTAAAGCTTCTTCAATACTATTATTTTGGTCATTTTCTATAATAATTGTTTTTGTATTGGTGTTTATATTTGTATTTGTTTTAGTTTTATGCTTATGTTTTGATAATTCAATATTATGAAGATCATTAATATTACTATTACTATTTTTATTATAATTTGGTCGAATTTTTTGTTGTGGTTGCTGTTGCTCTTGTTGTTGCTGTTGTTGTTGTTGATTTTTTTGTTGATGATGATGATGATGACTTTGTTTTTTATATGAGGTAGAATAAATGCAATTATTATTATTATAATTATTATTAATGCTTGATATTGGACGTGATGATTTTATAATTGTTGTTGTTGATGATGATTTAATAGCTGTCATATTAGAATTATTATTACTATTGTTATTATTATTATTATTGCTATCATTATTTGTTGATATTGAACTAATAAGTGATGATGAAGCAGCTGATATTGAATAGCCAGGTGAAAATGATGAAGTTGAAGATTCTGATGCAGTTGATGATATATCAATTTCTAAATCGGACGAATGTTCAGAATTTGGAGGTGTTAATGGTGAACAATTATCAGTATTATTACTATCATAAGAATTTACTGTTCTTGTTGTTACTTTTGCTATTGTTTTTGTTATATTAGCTGTAGGTGTATTATAGCGAATTTTTTTAATAGGAGATTGATTATTATGATTTAATATAATATCAGATGATATTGGTACCATATTATGGTAAGTTGATACATTATCATAAGAGTTACTACGATTTAATTCATTATTATCATTATCAATTTGATTTGTATTATTTGAAATTTCTTGCATAACAGTTTCAATTGTAATTGAATTATTATCATTATTATTATTATTAATATCATTACTATTATGATTATTTTTATGAATATTTCTACAAATTTCACTATCATTATTATTATTAATATTATTATTACTATTTAAATGATAACTACTATGTGTAATTATATTACGACTATTGCTATTTATATTATTGCTATTATTACTGTTATGACAATTAATATCATTACTTGTTGATAATGATGTCGCTGTTGATGATGTTGTTGTTATTATATTGTTATTATTGGAAGAATTATGTAATATTGTTACAACACACGGAGCTGGAAGTGGTGGTAAACTTTGTGATAATGATAATAAATCATGTGCTGCTTCAGTTTCTTCAATACTTCTTTCACGAAATAATATAGAAGAAGACGTTGTTGATGGTATTGACGGTAAAGTCGATATAGATTTTGATATTATTAAATTATTATGATTGTTATTCATTGCTGTTAATTTATTTGTATGATTTATTAAATTATTTTCAATTTTTGTAGATGTTGGATTAATTATTGTAATATTGTTATCATTATTATTACAATTATTACTATTATAATTATTATTGTTATTATTATTTTTAATATTATTATTATTGGTATTATTGTTATTACTATTTTCAAAATTTTGATTCATTACTAATTGATTTCTGGAATTTTGTGATAAATCTTGTTGTTCAATTGCAGTTTGATTTATTAATATAGTTGGAGAATTATTAATGATATTTCTTGAAGTTGTTGATTTTGTCATTGGTGATATTAATGATGATTGTGTTGATGACACTATAGATGATGGTGTTTTTGTTGTTTCTAAATAATTTATTGAAGGTGTTGGTATTGAAGTGATTTTAATTGTTTGTAATAAAGATGATGATGATGTTGTTTCCCCGGTTGACGAAGATGATAATGATGATGGTGATAATAGAGATGATGCAGGTGGAGCATAAAAAATTACTGGTTCAACAGTTGCTACCGTTGTATTAGATAAATCGGATGATGTTGATTTAATTGAAATTATTCTTGATATTGAATGTTGATTATTATGTTGAATTTTATTTTCATGATTTTGTTGTCTATTTTGATGAAATTGCTGTAATTGTTGTTGTTGTTGTTGATGATGATAATGGTCTTGATTTAAATTTGTATATGAGAATGTTTTATTACCAGATGGTAAAACAATTGTTTCTCTTCTTATTGGAATTGGAGTTATTGTTGCCATTTTTGTTTTTTATTTTTTCTTTTTTATTAATAGTATATATTTTATTTCGGATATAATAAAATTTTTTTGTATATATTTATAAATAAATTTTAAGATGAATTCACCATCATATTATTATTGTAGTTTTTTATTTTTAATATTTTTTTTATTTTTAATTTTAAATAGTAGTTTTTTTGATTCTATTTGCGTTTTCCTTTTAAAATATCCTTTTAGGTTAACATTTTTATAAAAACAATAGAAAATTGAATTGGAGTGGTAACCCTTTAATATTTTTTAGTATTAAGTAGTAGAATAGAATGAGAGCAATAGTACTACACATACAAACAAAAAATGTAGAAAAAGTTGTGTTTGCTGAAATGAGAAGAAAAAAAAAAAAACAAATATTGAAATTATTTTTTGTTTTCAGAAAAAAGTTTCAAGTTAAAAAGACTTTTTATTTTATTTTATAAAAAAAAAAATATTAATAAACAATAAACAAAAATTTATTTTTATTTTTGTAATTTTTTAATAAAAATAATAATAATTGTAATGAATTCAAAAGCTCAGAAGTAATTCTAAAGTGAGGCAATAGCTTGGATAATTTCAACTTTACAGAAATTTTTACAATCAATCGTTCAACTTTATCAATAATAATAGGTCCAGACAGTATTATAATTAATAAATGAGAAAGAAAAAGAAAAATTCAAATCAACAAATGATTTTGAATTTTTCTTTTTTCTGATTTTAAGTTCAAACTAAAATTTGTTTTTATAACAAAATTAATTTCATAAAAAAACCTAAGAAGAATCTAGAGTAATAATTCTTAAATTGCGATTAAGATTTCCTATATTCTGTTTAAATTCATTTAATAAGGGATAGAGCATTTGTCTGACATATAGATTTGAGCTGATGCACCGTTTTCAGGGATTAAATAAATCGACGAAAATAGAATAAAATTTTTTTAAATCCTAAAAGTATGCAATTTTTAAAAAAAATCATTAAATTTTCATATGTATATATATATTTGCATATACTTTCTTTAATTTATGTAAACAGTTATATTTCAGTAATAATGTGTATATAAATATATATACATATTTATTGATATGTTTTTATCCTTTTCAAACTCCTGTTAAGAAGCCTAGGGCTTCGGTTAAACCTCTCCATCTCTCTTTATTTTGGACGACAAATTTTATTTGTACGTAAGTTTTCCCTGATGCTGCTAGATATACCATATAATTATAAATATATATATTTATTTTCATATACATATGTATTTATATTTCAAAATATATCGTCTTACTTCTTTTGTTTCAATTTCTATTTTTGGATAATAGATAACTAAAATAAACAAAAAATTGAAAGTGTAAGAGATCATCATTGTCATCTCCATCATAATCATCATCATCGTTATTATTAACAAAACCCACATTTTAATAACAAATATGAATATATGTACATATCTGCTCTTGTACCTTAATATATATTAAGGTATACATATACATTATGATAGTTAATGTTGTTTAAATATGCATATTTTAGAATTCTTTATTTTTATATACAGGATAAGAAGGATGGAGAAGGAGGCCAAATGTATTAATCAAAACTTGATTAAAATTAGTTTATATTGTATTTAGTTAATACAGTAATTCGTATTCTAGTGTATCCTTATAAAAATAAATTTCTGTTGCTCTTTCCTCTGTATAGAGTATTGTTCGTGTATATGTAGATATATATATTTTTAAGTGTGCAATTTAAAAAACTATTGGGAATGTTTTAAATTTGTAGTTTACTTTGTTCTGTTTTAATTTGATAATATTGTTAAAATATCAGGTTTAAGATGTTAATTTAAACGAAAAACTTCAAATTTTCTTGTGTTTTTTGTTGGGGTCGGCTATAGTACACCTCATTGGTATCGAAATTAATAAATTTTAAGTGTTGAGAATTCAGCACAAAGCCTACGTTATGTGTAGGTAACGTTTTTCAAAATTTGAATATTTTATAATTTTAGTTTAAATTTCTAGTAGGGAAACTATGGCCATTGTCGTGAAAATTAATTGCACCGGATTGTTTGGAGCAATATTTTGTAATGAAAATATGAAAATAAACTTTGAAGCCGGAAAAAGTATTAAGAATTTTGAGCCGCAACATCTTTTGTAAGAAAAAGAATAAAAAATTTAAAGTAGTTTTTAGTTTTAAGAAGGTACTTGGAACTAGAATTCGCGTTATCATTTGTGTGTAAAATAAATTAACAAAAGCATTCTGTAAACATCCCAAAAGTATGCAATTTTATTTAAATTAATTTCATTCTTATATATAAAAAAAAAATTAATGTACATTTACCCCATAAAGTTGTAGAAACCATGAAAAATTGATTCATGAGTGTATTTATAACTAGATTGACGAGTGTTCTCTTAAAAATTGTGTAGCAAATAGCTTTCATTTGGGGCAGTTTTTAGTTAAAACCCCAAAGGCAAAGGAATTTTCTCAAATTATTTCATAGTATTCTTAAACACCCTTTATATATTTTATTCTATTATATAATATCAAATATATTTTATCCAATTTTTTAGCTTGTATGTACCTTTATTATGTATTTTTGGCATAAAACTTTAATATTATACGCGCTCTACAAATATTTACCATAGAATTTTTTTTCCTTTTTAGTTTCTCTTTTGTATTACTTTGTTTTTTTCGTGGTTGCCCTCGCGTTTATTATGTCAAATATATAGCTAAAGGGCATTATCCTTGTTGTGACGCATATTTAACGCGAAATATACTATGTTTGTATGTATGTACACAATAATAAGTTGTATGAATGTATGAGATATTAAAGATAACATTGTAGATTGTAAAATTAATATAATATGTAAGTGTATACCATGGTATATGACACAAATACCATGGTATATGATGACTATTCACTTAATTCATTCAAGGATAATATCATTTATATTTTTGTATAATAGATATATTAGTATAATACATGTATGTTAAAGAAACTTATATACATATGTAAATTATTTATATTTCGATTGTGTATGTGTGTATTTAAAATTATTTTTATAATTTTAATATTGAGGGTCTTTCATAATAAAGTATTATGAACGAGATTCGTATATAATTTTAAAATATTCTTTTTTTTTTTTTTTTTTTTTTAATATTTATAATAATGAAATGACATGCAAAATGTTTTTATTCCTCTTCCTCCTTAAAATGTACTTAGAATTCCTTTTCCTTGTCGTTTATTCGAAATGAATCAAAATTATTTCAAAACATGCCTGATTCTTTTAAGGAAACTGTCTATATCTACGATGACAATTTTTTAGAAAAATTTTTGAAAATTTATCTTGTATGTGTACTTAAAACAGTCATACAGAATGAAAGAAGTAAATACGAATTTTTTTTTAGTGTATAAATATAATTTTCTAAAAACTTTGATTAAGGCTACATCATATTAAATTCTAAAAATTTTTAATAAATTTGAAGACTCAAACGTTTGTTTAAAATAAAAAATATTAATTTTATTAAAAATTTAAGAAAATCTCAAAACAAATCAAATTATAATGACGCATACTAAAATTTACTTGTACAGACATACACTGAAAAGAGATAAAGAAAACATGGGCTCAAAAGAACTCCTAAAAGTAATTAAATCGAATTTATATAAAAAGCAGAAAACAAACTTGGTTTTAATAATTAAATAAAAATCTTTGTATAACGAGTGCGGTATTAGACAATTTAATTCTTGTTTATAAATCACAAAATTCCTTGAATTCTTTCTAGATCGTGATTGGTTCTTTTGCAAAAGGTTTCAGAATTTTTATGTTAATTGCAGTTCACAATAATTTTATTCATATTTAATCGATTTTAGTAATTTATGTGTATACTATAATTTCTAAATTAAGTAAAATATTCTTGGAATTAAGACTTTCTTACATATGCTTTCAAAAAGGACTTACGATATCACGAATGGATATATACGATATAATTATACAGTGTATAATTTTACGATAAAATTAACTTGGAATTGATGAAAGAACGCATAAATTATACAAAAATTTTCTTTTCATATTTTCTTTTTTATAATAAATTCACCTTATCATATACTAAAAATAAAGTATAGCAAATAACAATATAAGAGTTATATGAAGGATAAAAATGCAAGGATTCAAAAATAGAGGTCATTAATGATAATAATATTATCATTATAATTATCTGAGAGAAAGCAAAAATACATATACAAAAAGGAAGAAGAACCCAAATTATATTTGTGGAGCATTTAAAGTAATTCATTTTCTTTTGTTTTTCTTTTTTGTTTTTTTTCTTATATAAAATTTAATTCATTGTCCTTTTTGGTTTTTGTTCAAATTAAACACATGTTTGTATATTGTGTCGCGTATTTGGTATATCAGATTTTATATTTAAATATTTGCCTATGTATACATATATATATAAAATTATAAGTGTTATATATTTGTAGAACAGTAAGGATTTGATTGTTCATATAACGGGTTATTATACTACCTACTATAATATATACATATAGGAATAATTGGGGTTAGTAAGATAATGAGCTACGGGTATTTCTATTTATATACCACTATTGTCACTTCATATAATAAACAAAAGAAGAAAAACAATAATAATAAAAAAAAATTTATAAATATCAAAAAATAATAAGAATTTTCTCTCCCTCTGCTCTGTCTCTCGTTTAAATTTTTTTTTATCGCAAAAAAAGGATACGTAAATGTTAAGAGAAATATAAAAATTAATACAAAAGGTATGTGTGTGTGTAAATGTGTATTTATATATAAGTATAGCAATAAATGATAATTGTATTGGGATATAAGAGTTTTTGGGTATAGGAATTTTTTTTATTTTTTCTTTTTTCTTTCTTTTTTACTTGAAACAATAGAATTTGCGTAGTATTTTTTCATTTTGATAATAATTCCATTAGATTTAGGATTACCAAATGTTTGTAAAATTTTTCATTTGAGTAATGTAAATATACTTTATATAGGAAGTCTGTTTCAGTTTGGATTTGTTGATCAGAAGTAGCCTTCTCAAATTTATATTAAATTTGCAGTTATGAGCTGATAAAATTCAACATTAAAGGCAATATTTTTTGATAATATGGCAGTACTGAAGCTAAACTTAAATATTTAGATTAGATTAGACGTTAAGGTGGCAATGGAGCCAATATGCAGAATAAAACGCTGTTGTCTAAAAGTTTTGTAAAATTTCTCAAAACTACGGAAAATCCGCTAAACCAATAATGGATATGAATCCATAGATTCTCCTCAATGTTACATTATAAATCTGTATCAAGAAATCGTGCACGCAAAGAACACGTTTCTCAGCTAATAGTG